CCCCAAAACCCCAAAACCCCAAAACCCCAAAACCCCATAAGGTATTTGAAAAAACATTCATTAAGAGGATTTAATTACATGAATAATAAATATTAAAATGAAAAGTATTAATACAAATCATCTGGCCTGGAAGGACCTAGTTCGTAAAGAAAAATAGGGCCTTGCAAAGTATATCTATTTCAACTAATTTTTCTATCTAGTTCGATGACAAAGGGTTTGGTTCTTGACATGATTGGTTCTGTTTAAATAGACAATTTACAAAAGAATTAAATGTTCAATAGCGAGATCATGATAAAAAATGAGCAATTAGATGTACTATCCCCTCAAGAAAAGAAATAAAAACTTTTAGAATTCCTTGTCTAGTAGAGAAGATTTGATATTGAAAACAGAGATGAATAAGATATAAGTAGGGATGTTTCAGGGGCTAATTCAGCTATGAATGGTATGAGGCTGCAAGCTGGAAATGCTTTACAAATTTAAAAAAGATATTAGGCAGGAGGAGTTAATTTCCCTCCATATGGGCTTCATCCATCTGCCTCACTTGACTTGACTCGGTTCTCATAGAATAAAGATGATATCACACCCCTTTCGGTGCATAAATCAGAATCAACAATGTCTTTCTTGCCTCCTGTCAAAAAGAGTTACTATATGGCTCACTCGATAGATTTATCTTAACCTGATTTCACAAAACTCAAAGTTAATCATTAAAAATAATAAGATGATGTTTATTATGAAAACTAAAAAGACAACTTGAAGGTTTAGAACAGAAGTATAAGTCCCGAATAACTAAAAAATAGCAAAGTTTACGAGTCTGCTAATATTTAATCAGTGAAAAGAAGAAACATTGAAAGTAGTGAAGACCTACCTTTTAATCAGCCTTATTATAGCAAAGATAAAGACTTTGGAGGTACAATGCAAATCAGCATGGAACGAAGGGATAAATCTCACACTTTTAAATTGCCTAGAAGACTTCCAGACATTGAAGAGGAGAGTTAAAAATCACTATTTCCTATTATCAAATCAACTTCTTAAGCATACCTTGACATTGATGTACTTTCTAAGTTACCTCATGATGTTCAAACCTATAAGAGAGATCAAATGTAACAAATATTGTAACCACTTAAAAAAGATGCCAGTTTCACGAACAACAAAACTTATGGAAAATTGGAATAAGAAATTTAAAAGCAAGTTCAGATTTCAAAAGCTTAAGGGTTCAACTCAGCTTAATCAAACTAAAAAGTTTAAATGAACAGATTCAGAAACAAAAATAAAGAAAAGCAGAGCCTAAGATACGCTACACTTGATAATATTAGAGAAGATAGATAACTCTGAACTGATATAGCTAAAAGTTAAAATATCTCACTTAATTATATTAAAACTTCTTTTAAACTACTAGATTTAATTTTTATATATCAAATGTATAAACTAAGGGGTTTTGGGGTTTTGGGGTTTTGGGG